CCAGTAGGCCACTGGGCAAACTTATAACCATGTTAGCTATCAACAGGACTTTAGATAAACGTTCACATCTTGCCATAGGCCGGTTGATCAGTTCTACCAAGGCAAAGGATGACTGGTGGTTATGTCAAATTCTCATGGCATAGTTACAGTACCAGAGGGAACTTAGGCAGGTAATCCAATTATTTCACAGTTGTAATTTTGGTGATGAGCACATGTTGTGACATTCCTGAAGCCAGGGATGGATGGTACCAAAGAGCCTCAGGCCTATATCACTTCTACAAACTGTACGAACTGTACTCATCCTATCACCACTCATTGAAAAGCACTTACAAGAAAGCTGGATTCCGCCCAGGCAAGTCATGCACAGGTCAAGTGCTGAATATCACTCAATGCATCAGAGAGCTTTGAAAAGGGCATGGTAACAAGTACCATGTTGGTCGACCTCTCAGCAGCATACGACACAGTGAATCACTGAAGGCTCCTTACTCAAGAATACAACATGATGAATGATCACACGACTGATACAACCCCTTCCAGAGAACTGATGTTTTACATTGAACTGTGTGGGAAGCAGACTCAATGGCAGCAAAAGAAAAACAGCCCACCAAAAGGAAGTGTACTCTCACTAATACTTTTCCGCATCTATTCAAATGATCAACCAATCCATCTCAGCTCAAGTTTTAACTGTGCTATCTATCCCATGCATCACTGCCCAAACCAAGGAGCTTGCCCCGTGCTAACATTGGCCCTGTCTCGGCTCTCAGTCTGCTTCCATAATAATCAATTACATGCCAACCCCGCCAAAATGCAAGCCAGTCTCTTCCAACTTTGGAATAAGGAGACCAATAAACAACGTGACATCATCTGGAATGGGGTATCATTTGTCCGATGCTGGTATCCTGTCTATTTGGGGTGACATTAGATCTCACTTTCTCCTTCAGAGTGCACATAGAGGAGAAAAAAAAAGGCAAAGTTAACACTCAGAACAACAGACTTAGGAAGTTTGCAAATTCAAAATGGTGAACCAGCCCAGTAGCATTAAGCCACCATGCTTGAACTTTGCTATCCTAATTGCATCAGAACTGCTCACCAATATCTATCTGTCTGCAGATATGGTGCACATAGCTCAAAATACTCAACTAGGACATAAAAATGCATGTTGATTTTGCTGAACACATTGCTGCAGGTGCAGAAAAGGGTTGATTGGCCTGACAAGTTGAAATTGCCTCTGAGTTTGGAGGTCAAAAGTCAATATGCAGAAGTGGGGCTATTCTTATGACCCAGGCATGTGATCTCAGGGAAGCACAAACCTCTGTTGGTCTGTCACCTCCAGGAATAACTATGTACCGTGGAAGTTCTTAAAAGCTTCAGGCCAGTCATATCATGTGCTCATCGCTTTATAAACCTATGATTATGATGGAAGGACAGGAGAAGAATTATATATGTGCATTAACGGTTCTTTTTTAGACCATGTCAGATTGGTGACTCTGGAAACAGAAGATGCTGCTGCTTAAGACTTATGTATTATGCGTTTAGGACAGGGGTGGGCAATAATTTTGATGGGGGGGCCACTCCAAGAATTTGGAAAGTGGTCAAGGGCTGCACTCTTCCATAATAATGGAGGAGGTGTGCGGTCTGGGATGGAGGTTGAGTGCAGAAGGGAGCTTGCAGCAAGGGATTGGGGTGCAGGAGAGGGTGTGGGGTCTGCGAGGGAGTTTGGGTGAAGGGGGCAGTTGTGACCTGGGTTAGGGGACTAGGATGCAGGGGTTTGGGTTGCGACCTTGGGCTAGAGGGGGTTGTGACCTGAGGAAGGAGACGAGGGTGCAGGAGGAGGTGAAGGGGTTTGGGCTGCGACCTCAGGCCGGAGAATGTTGAGGCCTGGGCAGGGGATTGCGGTCCAAGATCTGGGAGGGGATATGGGGGCAGGAGAGGGCAGGGGCTTTGGGTTATGTGGGGTAGGGGGAACAAAGGGTTGGGGTGCCAGAGGCTTTTCAGCATGCAAAGCACTAATCCCCCCTCCCCTAAGGCTCTTATTCACAGAGCACATGGCCCTGCAGCCTATGTGGAGGCGCAGGGTGTGCAGGGCAGGCTCAGCTCCTAAGAAATGTGCTGAGCTGCTGGTCTGGAGTCTCACTGGTAAGTATCCTGGCAAGATCTTCCCCCCCAGCCCTCTGCCCCACCACCCCACATAAGCCAAACCCAGATCACAATCCCCTCCTGCCCTAGGTCACAGTCCGAACCCCTGCACCCCAAATCCTGTGACTCAGGTCACAACTGCCTCCTTCACCCAAACTCAGTAGCCCCCAACCTAAAAAAAGGTTCCCCACCCCTGCTATAAATAAAGACAATGTTGAAATCTTTTGGGTTGGGCATCATATTTTACTTTATTTAAAAATGAAGGAAGCCTGGCCAACAAGCCCCTAGTTGGGGCTGAACCCCCATCTGGCCATAGCATCAACTCTCCTGCACACCCCCATGCCATGCCATGAGCCCATCATACACCTGGACCACCTGCCCTGAGCCCCTCCTACACCCCAATCCTGACTCCTGCATCCCCACATCCCCAAACCCCTGCCATAAGATTGACAGAAGACAGCCTGAATGCGTGCATGAAGCTGTATTTGACCAGTTATGATGTAAACTTCAAAGAACTGTGCGAAAAGATGCAGCAGCAGATGTCCCATTAAATAAAGTATGTGAGTACAATGTTTTATTTATGCTATTATTAGTCATTATGTCAATTATCAATAACATTAAGTTGTATATTTTCAGTCATGCAAATGTGGCTCTGTGTTGACCACTTGTTCTGAATTTTGATGTAGTTTGGCTCTTTGGTTTGAAAAGTTGCTGACCCCTGCCTTACACCACTCTAGGAAAGGAGCTTTAACATGGCCATAGATTACAATAACACCAACTTTACAGCCTTCTTATACTGCCACAGTGGCATAAAGGGGCTTTAGTATAATTGAGAATCAGTCTCATTGTCTCTTAGTAACAGAAACCTGTTTTTCCTTTTTCTGGAAGCTGGTGGCTCAGCAATCTTAGCACAGGAAGAAAGCCACATGCAGGACTCTTCTCAGTTTCAAGGCTGTCTCTGATTGTAGCCAACTCTGCCCCAAAATCAGAGAATGGATATGACAAAGGCACTTAGAATTCACTGATTCAGGGCTTCATCAAAGTAGTCTTCTATGGCACCCAGCTGGGTGAATGTGGCCCTGTTGGTTTGGGTGTGACGGATGGGAGGTGAGAGTCTAACCCAAACTTTGGTGAACTGGAAATCATATTATAAATCAGAGAATAAAAACTTCTCAGAAATGACCATTTAGAGTTATAAATGGCTGCAGACAGGTGCTTGTGTAGTTGCAAATGAGAGGACAGTAAGCTGGTGAGGTTACTGTTGATTAACGTGTCTTGAAACCAGCCCTTGGTGTGTCTGTTTGAACAGTGAGGCCTTTAAGACAGTGACTCTCAATCTTTCTAGACTACTGTGTCCCTTTGAGGAGTCTGATTGGTCTTGCATATCCCAGGTGTCACTTAAAAACTACTTCCTTACAAAAATCAAGTGGTAGATGCCTGTGCTTTTAAAAGAGATGGGGTCTGAGTTCTATCCATGAAGTTCTGGCCAGCCATAGTATGCAGCACTGGGACAAATGTGAATTCATTCTGATAGGTGACCCTCCAAGGTAAGAGAAGGAATCCCTTTGTAGTCCCTCCTCTCTTCATAGTCCAAGCACAAAATGCTTTCTCTGTCTGTCTTTCCTACTCAGGAGGAGTTATTTATGCAAAGAACTACTAGCTAGAGATGTGAACAACTAGTCGACAATCCGATAAGCAAATGTGTATTGGATAGTTGACATGCTAATTGACTAGTCACTTCCCCCCACCCTTGCTGCCTTTATCAGAAAGAGACAGCGGGGGTAGGGGAACGGGGGTGCTTCAAAGTGGCAGCGCTGCATGGAGCCAGGGGTCAGTGGGGGAGTCCCCAGCTGTCCCTGGGCTGCACGTGGAGTTTCAAAGTGGCAGCACCGTGTGGAGCCCAGAGTTAGCTGACACCACAGGGAGCCCAGAATCAGCTGGGGACTCCCCCACTGATCCTGGGATGCACGTGGCACTGCCGCTTTGAAAAGCCACAGAGAGCATGGCGTCAGGCTCCTTGCAGCTTTTCAAAGTGGCAGTGCTGCGGGGAGCCCAGGATCAGCTGGGGACTCCCTTGTTGACCTTGGCTTCTCTGCGGCATGCTGCTTTGAAACGCCACAGGGAGCACAGGGCCAGCGGGGGATAGCTTCAGTTCCCCGCTAACCCTGTGCTCCCTGCAGCGCTTTCGCCTTTGAAATATAGCAACAGCCCCAGGACTGTTGCTACACTTCAAAGGCGGAGGCATCCTTATCAACTATTTGAATAGTTGATGCAAATTGCATCAACTATTCGATTAGTCAATTAATCAAAGTTTTACATCCCTACTATTAGCCCTTGTAGATACAGACTTATAAGAGTTGGGGTATGGTTCAGTTCATTATGGTACATTGCATAGCACTCCCTAGTTCTAACCACAGGGCTACTTAGCCCCAAAAGTACAAACCTTAGAAATGAAAACTATACAGCATACATTACTGTTGTTCCTCACTACCCTAATGCAAAAGGCTCCTAAGTGAAGTTCTGTAGCCTACAAATGGAAGCACACAATGAACAGGCAAAGGCTTAGTGAAATTAATAGGAAAAGGGGGGAAAGCAGCATGCATAGAAACAATGAGAAGCATGAAAAGAAAATGTCATCAAGGATTATGAACAAGATTAATCCCCAGAGGATTCATCCCCAAAGGATCATCACTAGGACATACCTTTTCTGACATGACATTTATAGAAGGATCAATGGGAAATAATTACATCAGGAATACTAAAAAAGAACTCTTCTCCCACCCTGACCCTCTGAAATGAACCCAGAAAACAACAACACACCGATCAATTCAAACATGACCCGCTGCAACGTGTTTAAAACATACCCATAGTAGCAGAGAATATCACAATCCCCAGCACATTCATGCCATCACTGGTGCCTGGCTCAGATTTGTAAATCACTTCTGGAGGGGGAGTGATATCCAGAGCAAAATTCTGGACATTAGATCCATTCTCATCCTGGACCCCGTATATTATGATCCGACGAGTGGCACTTTCAGAAGCTGCCTTGTTGGATTTGATGATAGGAATGCTCTTGGTACGATACTGAAAGAACACAGAATATTATAGTGGGTCATCAGGGACTAAAGTGCTAATGAGTTGCAAGATTGCTTGAATGTGCTTCAAAATGCCTGGTGAAAGGAGAATGGCTATCTATCAAAGAGGGGCGGGGCATGCGTGGAAGAAAGAGAAACAGCTTCCCCTCCTCCCCAGCTATGGAAAAACAACTTTGTTCCTTTTTTTGTAAAAATCTGACAAAATCAGGAACCCTCCCAAGCAGGCCTATTGATCTCTGTTAGGGTGACATTTGGCATTCCTCTATATTCCCTCTCCTTGTGTGTAACTAGGAATAACACTAGTCCAGTGATGTTCCTTTGTCTCACCAAAGGCAAGGATTCCATGCAGTATATCCCATTTGAAAGGGCATTAAACACAAGCACTCCTCTTACCTAACCTGCTCAGAACTTTTAGATAAGATGTCCTGGCCAAACTCCAGTTTGGAGAATTAGGTTCTGCCTACCTAAATTCCGACATTGCTTTAATTGGATACATCATCCTTCTTCACTTCCTTTTGTGTAACATCACCATGTGCTCTCAAATACCTCCCACCTGCCAGATGATTGCATTTCAGTGGTGAAATAGAAGAGTGACTCTATTGCCATATGGTTGACTTATGTAAAGTCGTCTTTCCTTCCCTCATGCTATTCAGTGAGGGCCAGGATCAGCAACGTTGTTCAGTTGCAGAAGTCATGTTTGCAGCCCTCTCGGAGAGCTCTTAGAGAATGACACAGTCCTTCAGATTGGCAGGTTTGTGTCTTAAGAGTCAGCATTAGATTAGTATTTTAGCAATCTCTGTTGTCTGGTAGCACAGAGTTGCCACCAGGGCTCCTTTCCTTCCTGGTCCCTGGTGTGCTCAAGAAAATGGGACAGAGCAGGGGATCCCCATGCCCTGATGATTCCGAGGAATCCCTTGTCATGCCTAGGTTCTAGGACAGGCCTGGGCAAAATACCCTGTGCAGGCAGGATCCAGTGCAGGGATGCAGCGGGGAGCCTCAGGCAGAATCCCTGCCTGCCCCCTGCACACGGCTGAGAAAAGCAGCTGTTGCGGGATTCTGTTTGGACAGCTGTGAGCCTGGGGGAGGAAGAAGAGGCTTTCATACACTGCTCCCGCTCTCAGCACAATCCCATTGGCTGGTTTCCAGCCAATGGGAGCTGCCTATTGTCAGCAGGCCACTTGTGAAGCACCATCGCCCCCTCTCCTAGGGCTAGTAACTGTTCAAAAACCATGTGGCCACTGCAGCCAGTGTGGGGGAGGGGCACGCAAGAAGTCGGCTTGAGAAGGCTGCTGGCCAGGAGTCAAGCAAGTAAGTCTCCCAACCAGAGCCTGTCTCTGGCACCCCAGGCTTTGCTCCCTTCCCCCACATAACCCAAACCACTTGTCCCCTACTGCCTCTAGATCCACTCCCAGATGCTGCATCCCAATCCCCCACTCATGCCACAACTCAAACCCTCGGCCTTCCTCTTGCACCCCAGACCCCTTCCTCAGGTCACAACCCCCTCTTGCCCATGGTCACAACCTAAACCCCTGCCTCCTACTCCCCTAATCCAGGTCACAACTGCTTCCTTCACCCAAACTCCCTCCCAGACCCCACACCCTCTCCTGCACCCCAATCCCTTGCTGCAAGCGCCTTTCTGCAGCCGACCTCAATCCCAGACTGCGCACCTCCTCCATTAATATAGAAGAGTGCGGCTCTTCTCCACTTTCCAAATTCTTAGAGTTGCCCCCTCATAAAAAATTACTGCCCACCCCCGTTCTAGGAGGTTCAAAGGTGACTTAGAGGTTCCTGTGCACTCCATTTCCTGAGGTGCAGTGAACTCTGCCAGAACTCGGGATCTGGCCTAAACCTGTCTAATTAATCAGCAAATAAGGAATTGTGCACTATTTCACTCTCCTCCTGCCCTCCATATTCTTACATCCAATATATTGGGCAGGTCTCAAATAATTTTCATAGAGGTTTAAGGATTATCAAAAGTCCACGTTCCAGAGATTTGGAAAATTAAGGTGACATCCATTTGGTGGAAAGAGCTAATACAAACTATTTCAAACTCTTTCTCACCAAAATGACTAAATATCAAAACAGCAAGAGCAGCTCTGATTTATAGGATGGCAGGACACTATTTTTTGACCCAACTCATGAACACACACACTTTTCAAGGTGTTCCCATAAGTAAGAGCATAAATCATGGGCTTTCTGTACTAAGTGGCGTAGATGCTGTTGAGGATTTTACCAATATCAGCTGTAACAGCAGGAGGACTCTGGCCCTCTAACATTTTTGTTACAAGTACCATCAGAAGCAAACACAGGGCCCCATCACCATTCCAGCCTGCTAGTACCATGTCAACACTGCATTATTACCTGGTGCAGAACATATGATAGATTCAAAGCAACATATTTGTATGTGCATCGTCGCTATATGCCATATAGGCACTTGTGAATGCTCCAGGCTCTATGATTGTGATGTACATACACTGACAGTTCAATCTACACCTGTCCAGAGATCATACTTAGTGCTTGTTAGATATTAATTATTTAAAGCCTGAACCTCAGAAGTGCAGAGCTCTTGCAACAACTATTAAAAGTACAGCATCTCTCAGGATCAAGTGCTGTTTGATTTATATTGTGCCTATCTGTTGTATTGTACTGCATGGAAACATTACTAAAAAATTAAAAAACATGAAGTATCCATTGCTAAACAACTGCCCACATATTAAACTCACATCGGACTCTCACTCCGACTCATTCACTGGCAAAATTGGTCATCCTTCCAGCTACTGCCTTCTCTGACTTAAAAGCAACTGATTATTAAAATAGATGAACGATTCTGATTAGACTCTTATGTAACAAAGTTATTATGGGCCTAATACAAAGCCCACTAAAGTCAGTGGAAAAACCGTGGGCAGTGGGGGAAGCTGCCACTTGGGGAGGTTAATGCTCCAGCCTGTGGCCTGGCCTGTACTCCACTTCTGCTCAGTCCCAGGTGTTGCTCCTATTCTGCCAAGGTCCCTCCCCCTCCCCACGGTCTAGGTTCACTCTTCCCTCCAAATCCCAGGACACAAATGAAGCAAATGACATTTGAAAAAACTTCTCTTCCACAATTTCTTTCTAAAGAAAATGGAGCACATTTTCCACTGCAAGCCTGATGGCAAATACTGGATACTCAGACGGTACCTAATTAACAGCACTAAACTTGGGAATAAAAAATGTCAGTCACAGGTGGGGTTTTTTTTTAATATACCCTGACGTTTGTCAGATTTATCTGCAAAAACTTTGTAGTGAGGATAAGTCAGTTGTCCTGATGAATACAACATTAAATATTATGGAATACATGATGCAGCTCTTCTGTGTTTTAGGTTTTCTTCATCAGTATTTCTAAGCTGATTTTGTATTGTAAATGTATTCTTAAGCCCTCATAAAGTAATCGTTCCAGATTACTACATATTTAACTCACTGAAAAAAAGATAGTATTTTAAATTAATCAGTCACTGAGGTTTAGTGTGTTCATTGTTTATTGCTTTTAGAAATAGAGAACACTCAGGGCTCGCGACAGACTTCACTGGCCCTGGGCAATGGGGCATGTCTTGGCTTGGGCCTCCCCCCAGAAGGGGCAAGGTTAGGGGACAATTTAAAGGGCCCAGGGCTTCGGCTACCGCTGTTGCCATAGTAGCAGCCTAGAGCCCCAGGCCCTTTTAAGTCACTGGACCCTAGGGCAGCTGCCTTCTTTCTCAGTCCTCCAGCCCATTGGGGGCCCTGGACACATTAATTTACTTTGTGTGATTTCAATAACAACATACATGTTTATGAAATTTCACCAATTTTATAAATATGTTTTCAAAGATTTTATGCATAACAAAGATTTTTATATTTTGGTGTAGGGTTCTTTTAAAATGAGTTCATTACATAGAAGTAAAGAAAGGGAAACTCATTTGTCCAGCTATCTGGTGGAAAAGGGGTATTTTCTCTTTAAGGGCTCTCTTCAACAGGAGGTAAAGGGAAAAAGATAACAGGGATGACAGAAAGGACAGGAAGACTTCGGAAGCAAGATTTTTGTACTATAGTAATTAAATTTAGCACATGTATTTTGAAGGATTTATTCTGAAAAACTATATGTCTGTGTAGATCTTGGCATTTAAGGCTAAAGCTGAATACTAAGATTGTGCATTTAAAAATGGATACAAGAATTTTTTTAGAGCTGTGATGTTATAATCTTCAGCAACAGACTAATGAAATGTTTTTTTAAAAAATGTTAAACTAAGATCCATGTTATAGAACAGGAGTGGGTACAATAAGGCCCACAGGCTGCCTCCGGCCCGCCAAACTGCCAGATCCACCATCCATCAAACCTTCCACCATCCTGTGGCCCAGCAGGAGCTTCAGGCAGGTTTCCTGCCTGCCACATCTCTGCACACTGCTCAAAGTGGCTGGCTCCAGGAGCCATGTGTGTTTGTATGTGCCATGTGCTGGGGGGGAAGGGAAGGAGTCGTACATTGCTCCCACCCCCCGGCACAATTTCGCAACTCCATTGTCCAGGGATTTTAGTAATAAACTAATGGAATATTTAAAAGCAAATTTTAAACTAAGATCCTGTAGACATATTCAGTAATCACAACTGTTTTAGTCAGTAAATTCAGAAACTGACAATATATACTTGGGGTTGGCAAATGCCTGTTAAATGGCTTCACTACCACTTGAATGGCTCTTTAACAGTTTCAGTGTTGTGCTGGAAGGTCTGGCGAACTGGAAGGCTTTTTCACTTTTAAGTTAGCAGATCCCCTCTGGAGGAAGACTCACCAGACTGCAACCACCTGCTGTGTGGCCCTGCTGGGATAGGAAGAGGAAAGAGGTTGGGCGCTAAGAACCAGGGAAGGCAACACCTTCCCTTGCCTCTTTACCTGCTACCCATGGGAAAAACTCTCTTTGACTTCAAAGGGATTTGCATTAGATGCCACTTTAAGTACTGAACCAATATGCAGTACTGTATCTCAATTTTTGCTTCAAATTGTTCATTGCATGCATTATATGAAGGTGGCTTCCCTGAACATCAAAGCAGACACTTACCTGTTTGAATGTGGCTTCAACAAGATTGGCTGGAAACATGTTCCTGGAAAGAAATACATAAAAGTATCATTGTCAAGAGGCTATTTAGTTACCCTTGTTGGGCCTTAGGGTCCACTGCCTTATTCCTTGCAAAATGAGTGCCCAGAAGGTAGCGAAGACTCTAGTATTTATTTTGAAAAACTATGTCTGTGTAGATCCTGGCATTTAAGGCTAAAGCTGAATACTAAGATTGTGCATTTAAAAATTTCCTACTTGCTCTGCATGGTATAAGTGGCTATAGAAGGCATAACAGTGGAGACCCAAGTCCACCAAGTTGAAAACAGAGGTTTAAGGATATAATTCTGAACACTTGATGAGGGATTCAAGAGATCTGGATTCAGTTCCTGACTCTGCCTTGTATAACCTGAGGCAACTCGCTCAGATTCTTTCTGGTTCAGTTCCTTGGCTGCTAGCTGGGAATAATTACAGAATAGTAGAACTGTATGGAATCCCAAGAAGTCATCTAGTCCAGTCCCCTGCATTCTTGGCAAAAGTATTAACTAGACCAGGGGTGGGCAAATTCCTTGGCCTGAGGGCTACATTGGTTAGTGAAATTGTATGAAGGGCCAGGTATGGAAGGATGGGGATAAGGTGACCAGCTGTCCCAATAAAATTGGGACTTTTAACCCTTTGTCTTGTGTCCGGACCAATCTTTGATAGGGACATCATTTGTCCTGATCTTTAGGTGTGGAAGTCAATAGCAAACAGAGGGGATGAGGAGGCAAGTAGCAACATGAACACCAGCTGAGGGATGAAGAGGTGACTGGTTGGCGCAGATGGGTGAGGAGGCGAGCAAGTGGTGGGTGGTGGTGAAGGAAGAGGTGAGTGAGTGGGGGGAGAGGAGGCAAGCGAGTGGTGAGTGGTAGAGGGGAGGAGATGAGCGGGTGAGGGGGGGCAAGGAGGTGAGAAGCAAGCCAGCAATGAGTAGGGGGAGGGATGAGAAGGCAAGTGACAAGGCTGATGGTGTGAGGAGGTGAGCAGCAAGCTAGCAGTGGGAAGAGATGTGAGGAGGTGAGCGGCGAGCCAGCAGTAGGTGGGAGGGACCTGGCAGGGGACTGAGGAGGCAAGCCAAGAGCAATCTCAGTAGGCAGGTGGAGGGTTTCACTGTGGGTGGGAGACACCTGGCAGGGGAGTAAGGAGTTAAGTGGCAGGTGGGAGACTTAGGAGAGACACAGTACAGCTGTGTCACGTAGGGAGTGAGAGGAGACGTGTGGCAGAGTGGATAGGGAAGGGGCAAGATCTGGGGCAGAATGAGGGTAGGTGTCCTAATATTTTACTGTTGTGATCTGGTCATTCTCGCTGGGGTAGGCTGTGCATCCCCAAACAGGCAGGCGTGATCTGGCCTCCATGCCCTCGCCAACCTTTCCTCCTCCCCGCCCCCTGACTACACTTCCTGGAGCACCAGAGCTGGTGGCACTAGCTGGAGTTATGCCACCCAGAGCACCAGAAGTGGGACAGAAGGAGAAGGGCTGGGGGCTGCCACTAATGCTTGCTGCTTTTGCTCTGCTGCAGAGTACAGCAGAGGGGAGTTGAGCTGGCTTCTCTTGGCAAGGCTCTCCATATTCTGCTCTGTGGCAGGAGCTTGGGAGATGGACTGAAGGGTCCAACAGATGAGATGTGGCCCACGGGCCATAGTTTGCCCTCCTCCGATCTAAACCATCCCTAGCAATGTTTGTCTAACTTGCTCTTAGAAATCTCCAATAATATAAATTCAATAGTCTACCTCAGCAATTTATTCTGCTGCTTAACCATCCTGACAGGAAGTTTTTTCTAATGTCCAGCATAAACCATCCTCGCTGCAGTTTAAGCCCATTGCTTCTTGTTCTATCCTGAGAGGTTAAGGAGAATAATTTTTCTCCCTCCTCTTTGTAATAACCTTTTATGTACTTGAAAACTGTTATCACATCCCCTCTCAGCCTTCTCAAGACTAAACCAACACAGTTATTTTAGTCTTCCCTCATAGGTTGTTTTCTAGACCTTTATTAATTTTTGTTGCTCTTCTCGGGACTTTCACCAGTTTGTCCCCATCTTTCCTGACATGTGATACAATACTTCAGTTTAGTCATAATTAATGTGGAGTAGAATGAAAGAATTACTTCTGTTTGTTGCCAAGGCTGACTAAGCTGTTCTGGGAGATGTTTTCTCCAACCTGACGCCAGAGCTGTCCCGTCCATAGAAGGGTTTGTAGTGGGTGCCTCAGGCCCCATGTTTTGTGGCAGCAGCCTCAACCGTCCTGGGGGCTTACCTGGGGAGGGGCCTGACATGGGGCAGCAGCAGGTGTTGCCCCCAACACTCACTACAGCTACAGTAGCTAGCGTGACCCAGCAGCCTGCTCCTCTGCCATAGTACAGCAGAGGGTGGCAAGATGGAGCCAAGCAGTCTACTGGGTTGCTCGGGCTCCTACCACTGCAATGAGTGTGGGAGGAGAAGCTGCCCCCTGCTGCCACTCCATGCAAGAACATAAGAACGGCCGTACTGGGTCAGACCAAAGGTCCATCTAGCCCAGTATCCTGTCTGCCAACAGTGGCCAGCACCAGGTGCCCCAGAGGGGGTGGACTGAAGACAATGATCAAGCGATTTGTCTCCTGCCATCCTTCTCCAGCCTCTCACAAACAGAGGCCAGGGACACCATTTCTATCCCCTGGCTAATAGCCTTTTACGGACCTAACCTTCATGAAATTATCTAGCTTCTCTTTAAACTCTGTTATAGTCCTAGCCTTCACAGCCTCCTCTGGCGAGGAGTTCCACAGGTTGACTCTGTGCTGTGTGAACATGGCTCCGGGCAATCTCCTGACTTGTGCTGCTTGGGGTGGGGGCTTCTGCAAGGGGGTGGGCAGGGATGGAACAGGGCAGGGCTTGGAAGAATAGTTGGTGTAGAGGCAGGGTGGAGCAGGAGTGGGGCCTGCAGCTGGAGGCTGCCGTGTCCCCTGGGCACTAGAGTGGTTGTCCCAGGCCCTCTGTCCCCCTCGGGAAAGCCCCACATGATGTAATCTCATTTTCTTAAAGTAGCCTGTTAAAATCTCCAGGAGTGCTTTCAGTAGTTGCCCGGAAATTGATGCCAATTCCAGGAGACTCCAAGACAATCCTGAAGGGCTGGCAACTCTATTTACAACACTCCTGCTAACACATCACAGAACGATGCTTGCTGCTTCTTGTTTTTCAACAGTGTCACACAGTTGGCTCTCGTCTGCTATATATTTGAGAGAGTTTGTCTGGCTGTGTGTCTGTTTGTTCAAGAACTGCTCCTAAATGGTAAAATTTGGTATACAGCTTCCTCTTATCATAACAAAGCAAGATCAAGGTTTGACTGTGACAGAAAAATGGGATGTGCCTGAAAAGGAATTGCTTCTCATAAAACCATATAGAAAAGAGACAGAATGACCAGGAAGGAGTTTGTTTAAAAGACACAGACTAGTGCCGGAGGTAGATATACCCTCAGAATGTTAAGGACAGTCAATGTTAATTCATGCAAAAGCGATGAGGAGTCCTATGAGACTAACACCATAGAGACTGAGGGTATGTCTACACTACCCCGCTAGTTCGAACTAGCGGGGTAATGTAGGCATACCGCACTTGCAAATGAAGCCCGGGATTTGAATTTCCTGGGCTTCATTTGCATAAGCCGGGCGCC